ACAATTACAATGTGATTAGATTCAGGGTCCTGTGATCGTTGTGATACATTATTGTGTGATACATTATTATTACAATATTATTCTGTGCCTATTTTATACAACCGGTTACATTATTTCAATCACAAATGAACATTTAAATGAACTCTCTGAAAATAGTAAATCTTGTTGTGGACATCCACAAAAAAAATTTTTTTCAAATAATATAGATAATGAAAAAAGAAATCTTATATCTAAAAAATATGTAGGCCTATCAATTGAGTGAGTCCGTGCAGCGATATAAGAAGTTTTGAAACACAATGACAGATTACATCTTAAATTGACTAAAATTGGCTGACTATTGGGGTTACACAACCTTCCTTTGCATTCAGCTGAGATTCACATTAATGAATCATCTCATGACAAAACTTCAGTCACTTAGAATTGACAGCAGAAAAATGCCAAGCATCCCATTTACTAAATAACTCCACTGAATTGGTTCTCTTTTAATAGTCCCATTGATTAGACCAGAGCTGTGAAATAATAAGGTGTTGTGGTGGGATGTGTGATGCTGAGCTGCTGTGTAAGCAACATCCCTTCTGTAAGTAATTAGGCTTTACTTTACACACACTCACAAAACCATGCTGGCTACATAAGAACTAATGGTGCATTGATCACTTTTTAGAGCAGAACCAAATCATATATTCAGATCTTCTCATTATTATTTACCCTACAAGTGCCTAAATGTTTTGGAATAAAGAAGATTTAAAATTCCCTCTACTTAAAGGAATAGTTACCAAAATTTGTCAAAATATCTTTTTTTTGTGTTAGGTTTTCAGCGACATGAGGGTGAGTAAATGATGACAGTTTTCATTTTGGGTGAACTAAGTCAGGCCATTAATCCCATCTTCTCATCTACTGTATGTCTATCACAGACACAGTCACACACTGCTAAAGCCATTCAGAACCATCCACTCCTAAATGTCTCATACAGCTGGAATTGACCTTCCTTTTCCAGAGGCCAAATACTATTTATAGTGACTTCATTTGATGTGTGTGCTTTTGTTGGAGCAAAGAGGATGATGAGACTAAAAAGCTGGGCTGTATATCAGTGCTTCCTTAAATTATCAAAAAATAATTTACTTTATCTGAAGTACCAGTCAAGGTTCTTGTACCATATATGACTATTCAAAACACTTCAGTTGCACATGGATTAAAGGTTTAAAGTAGTCTTAACTAGGGCTGTTGCGGTGAGGGAATTTCCCTTGCGGTAATTTTGAGGGGCTCAATAGCGCGGTATGCGGTATTATCGCCATACAAATACATATACACATATACACAAATAGCGCGGTATTGCGATATTGCGGTTATCGCGACAGCCCTAGTCTTAACTGCTTGTATGAGCTCACAAATTCCAGCATCTCTCACAAACACTCTACAATATATTATAAAAAGCAACAGACATTTAACCCTTATCTTTTGAGACAGCAGGAGTTTTATTCTGATCAGATTGCTGCAGTATGGACTTGTAGAAATGCAGAGAGCTCTATCTAGGACAGTGTGTTCTAGACAGCTTGGCTGTCTATCCCAGAGACACACTTGCTATTTCCTATGATTGTTTACCCAGAAAAAAAACTTGAGGGTATAAGTACGTACAAATAGCTAGACACTGGGTGATGTAGGGAAGTTTTACTTTGGCTGTTTTTAGCTTTATTTTGGTTGGTGAAAGAAGAAGTATGAGAGTTTTCGAATAAAAAATGACTTGTTTTCTGCTGGGGGGTATCACAGACCAACAGAGCTCTCTCTTTTTATTTCATTGGTTATCATTAGATGATTCATATTGAATCTTGTTTCCGCCGTGGGATAAAAAAAAATAAAATGCCAATTGCTAACTTAATAAAATGCTAACTTTTTTTACCTCTCAATTCACTTTTTTCCTCGCAGTTCTGAGAATTTCACAGAAACAAAAAAAAAAAACAGAATTGTGAGATGTTCTGAAGTCAGAATTGTGAGGAAAAAAAGTCACAATTACAAGATGTAAACTCAGGATTCAGAAGAAAAAATTGTGAGATATAAACTTGGAATTGCAAGAAAAAAAGGTTATATCTCGCAATTCTGACTTTTTTCTCAGAACTGTGAGTTTATATCTCGCAATTCTGTGTTTATATGAGAAAAAAGAATTGTGAGAAACAAAGTCACAATTTACATTTTTTTTCCCCCATGGTGGAAATGCACTTCCATAGTTTCAACCATAAGGAACCACCCTAAACTAATCAATATGGCTATAAAATAACCAACGGTATTCAGTTACACCGTTAAGATGCGCACATGACAGTACCATGAACCAGGTGCTTTACAATCCCATAATGATGCCTTTCAGTCTGTTTTAATGTTTTTGACTGCTCTGTTAATGAGAATATGTACCAGATGTAAAATGCAGCTTTGTGGTCATATCATAATGTTTGTGAGCACTTAATAAGCCTTTAGGGATCTATTAAAATTCAGAAAGTAACTTCTCACAGACGCCCATAGTAAAAACAAGAACTTTTGCTACCGCTGCACAATACTAAAAAGAACAAATGCTGAGAAGACTTGGAGGTGCTCCAAAACACACAACTAAACACAATACGACTAAATTCTATGTATTTTCAACAGAAATCATATTTGAATTTTCAACATATAAATATGTACAGGTTTCAAATGTGTTGAAACAACATTTCATTAACCACACAAGTTAGCCAAAGCGTAAACGCAACACAAACGCTCGCGAACGTCAGTCGTTTCGCCTGTTGCCCTAGCAACCAACGCTTCGCCGCTCCAACGATTTCTGGTCATTTGAATGGGCCCGAATTATTATTTGCTCGTAGCATTATCCGTATCGGACAACTTCGAGAAAACACAGGCAAGTCATTATTTCCCGCTGTGAAACACGTTTACATAACACATGAACGTTATACAACAAAAAATGTTTTGCTTAAAAGTTTTTTGTTGGCAGTTCGGTTGCGCGCGACCTGCTTTCGAAATCCCGAAAATAACTGCAAAGTTCACAACCCTGAAAGTAAAACAATTCTCAAACTAGACATACAGACAGACAGACAGATAGATAGATATTACGTGATAATTACGTAAATGAAAGACGACATGCCAAATCGTGTCGAAGCCTCTCCGCAGTGACTGGTGTCTCGGAGCTCTCGTTACTGCAGTAACTGTTATCTCTCCACGGACTGTGCCTGTGCCGCTCTCCAAAGAAGACATCGCGCGATATAACGTTAATGAAAATAGAATAAAAGAAACGTGAGCTTTGAGTTGCTATCCTCATCAGAGTAAAGGGCCGGTGAGGAAGCGCATCAGTCAGCCAGCGGTCACCGTTAAAAACAGTAGCTCAGACTCTCGCGCGCAACACGACAGTCAACATCCGTTGATAAAAGTGCGGGTAAGTACAGTGTTTGTCCCAGCGACGACTGTGAATGATTCCTTCACGTGATAAAATGTATTAAACGGAATCGCTATCGTGACAACAGGATCTTCGAGACGAGAAAAACAATGATAAATTGGGCTTGAGACTCACCTGTTCCCTGACACCGAGGCGCGTCGCTGCCGGTTACCGACTGACGCTCGAGCGCCAAACCCAACTCCTCCGCTAGGCGGAGCGCGCGGCATTTTGGCGCAGTGAACGAGGGGCACGCTGGGTATTGTAGTTGGCGTAGCTGTATTATTTACCTGCGCAAATTTAAGAAAAATAACATTTTTTTATATATCCGTGTATTATATTAGATTTTAAGATTTATATTTGTATTTAAGCTACTTGAGAGAGTCAGGAACAATTTACATATCTTTGTTTATTCAAGATAATAATATTGTACTAATATAATATTGTATATTGTAATATAATATTGGGATTCAAAACACACACAAAAAACTCGTATTAAGCCCCGTTCACACCAAGAACGATAACTATAAAGATAACGATAAAGATATAGTTCTAAAAATCGTTCTCAATATTAAAGAATAGCATAGTTCACACCACAACTATAACGATAACGATACAGAGGAACGATATCGTTGTGATCACTTTCAAACCGATTTTTTTCCAGCTGATGAATGATAAAACACTGACAATCAGAATCCATCCTGCTGTAACGAGCTCAAGAATTTAAAGCGGCAGACACGTGCGCTTAGAATAAACAGACGATATCGTTCGCTGGTGTGGACGCTAATATCGTTGTCTTTATAGTTATCGTTCTTGGTGTGAACGGGGCTTTATCCTTATATAAAACATTCTCAACGTCACAGGACAGTCGTGATAGCAGGTGGACTGCAGCTAAAGCAAAGGTCACCTCCCTTTCTGTCGAATCTGCAGAACCAATTATTATTGTTAGAAATGTGTACTACATATTTGTGGCGTAAATACTTATAATTTTATCACATATAAAATAAAATTATAAGTATTTAAGGGACGTTATAACTAAACAAGGTTATTTCTGTTATTTGACTGTTTTACTATTGAATATCGACGAACCTATACAATATCCAAAAACAAGTTGGCAAAGGGAGAGTATGCTTTAACAATAGAAAAGAAGACATAATAATTACTCGACTTCGAATAGGACATTCTGGTTTAAATCATTCATTATTCACAATAGGGAAACATCAGTCAGGATTATGTACTACATGCAGTGAAGCAGAGACTATTGAGCATGTACTTCTACATTGTGCAGTATATACCAAAGAAAGAGAGGAGTTATTTAAGAAACTGAGAAACATAGGAGACATTAATTTCACTATTTAAAATCTTTTAAGTTGTGCCTCAGGACAGACAAGTATTATGAGAGAAATTCTTAGTTATCTGAAGATAGCAGGATTAGAAATTAGAATTTAAATGTCATAATAATACTACCGGTTGGTTTATTTATTTATTTATGGATATTATTTTTTTTTCTCCCTCTTTCCCGTTAATGCTTCACACTCCAGTCCAGCTGGTGGCGGTGATACACCATAAGTTGGCTTGTCAACCGCCATAAAACAATAAGAAGAAGAATACTGACGAATGTGCTCTTGTTTATCGCCTCTGTGGCTGATCTGATACAACACGCTTTCAACATGGCTGCGCCCGCAAAGAGCATGGATGCCTCAGTCTCAGTTACTACGGGTCAACTGGCAACTGTTTCAGCAGCGGAAAATGTTCCACTACAGTATAGTCTTATTCTGGATCACCTTATGGGTGACAAAAGGCCAATCAAAGACTTGAATCCGACTGTCATGGGTGCTTTACCGAGTCCTCAGAAAACAGAGGAGCAGAAGATGATCGAGAGGGGAATGGAGAGCTGCGCGTTTAAATCACTCATAGCATGTGTCGGAGGTAATTCACTGACAGACAGTCAGATGTTAGAGGTTTTGTAACGAGGAGATATTCCCATGATCAATGTATATTTAATTCATAATCATCAGCTATGCAACAGCTCTAATGCAGCGTTTCTCTCCCCTGCAGGGTTTGTGTTGGGAGGTGCTTTTGGTGTCTTCACAGCCGGTATTGACTCCAACGTCGGGCTTGATCCCAAAGACCCCCTAAGGACCCCCACAGCAAGAGAGGTGCTGAGAGACATGGGACAGAGAGGAATGTCATATGCTAAAAACTTTGCTATTGTGGGTGCTATGTTTTCATGCACGGAGTGTCTCATAGAATCAGTAAGTGCCCTTTGCCCTATTTTGACCTTTCATTGTGTCATCTATTTTTTTCTCTAGTCAAATAAACACAAATGTATGTATTTATGGATAGCTGATAGCAAAAACAATTAGATTTTATTTAGTGAAGTTTTCCCACAATGCAATGCATATTTAAACTACCACTGATTATTGTTTTGCAGGGTGCTTCTTTTTTCTTATTTGTACATCCTCGTTTTCTTTCCTTGAGTCTTAGCTCCCACCCCCTTAGGATATGAGGAAAGAAAAAGAGGATGGAGGAATTGAAGGAAAACTAATTTGTTTATTGGAATATTCTTGATCACTCAAGCGTCGTCATCAGCTGCACTCAAGGGAAATTCATAATAAATATGAATAAAGCAGGATGCCCTGTAGAAATATGTTAAACATATGTTTTTCAACAAGAAACACTACCACATAGGATGCACCTGTGTATCCTCACTTATAACTCCTCTGGAAGCTTCCTCACTCCTCGTTCCTCACAGTGTAATTAGAGAATTCAGATGTCTTTCAAAAAGGCCAACTCTGGGTCATGGGCTGGAGGAGCGAGGATTTATTTGAGTATTGAGATGCACCCACAGTGTTTATATTCTAACCATCCATCAACTTAAATGAACGAGTCATCATAATTTTATACTGATGTAGACTCTATGAATTACTATAGTATAGGATTTTAAACACGTTTGACTAATTTACTGAAATTATGAAAATTAAACTTACTACTCACATATGCATTTTTTTATATGGATTAATGGCTCCACCTAGTGGTTCTGTGTTGGAACAGTCTTCCTACTCATCCATTCCTTGAAGGATGTTTTGCAAAGATTTTTAAATGGCCTATTTGTCAGTACTGATCCTCCATCTGATGAATGGTTTTCTCTTTTCTAGCATCGTGGGAAATCTGACTGGAAAAAATGCAGTGTATAGTGGCTGTGTTACAGGAGGAGCCATTGGATTCAGAGGCAAGTCATTTTTCAGTTTGGGGTTAAAGAATAGAAAGGATTTAAATGTGTGGTCATTTTATTTTATTATTGTTATCTGGACTATATGAATAAGCTGTTCCTCTCTTCACTAGCTGGTCTTAAAGCTGGAGTTCTGGGCTGTGGAGGTTTTGCTGCTTTCTCTGCTGCTATTGAATACTATCTCCGATGAACACCAGCTTCTGGACTGTTACCGTGTACTGTTGTGAGTTCCTCACAGTATAATGGAAGACATTATCACGGGGGACACTGTGCAATCTTCTTCTATCCCAGCAATCAAGAGGCGTTCCATCCTTCCGGAAGAGATTCGGTTGTGGACCAATAGGACACCAAACTCAAGCAGAAGTTTTGTATAAGTTTTGTTTATTCTGAGGGGTGTCTTGATCATTCTGTCTCAGACCACCTAAAAACCTCCAATATTTGTACATAATTGTGTCTAAAATGTCATGCTTTGTGCTGGCTGATGCACTGAGCTAAATGAGATCAAATGTATAGTAGTACACCTTGTCTGTGGAAAAAATAAAGAGTGGTATTAAGTATTTACTGAAGATCAGGGTGTAATGGGGCATAAAATCTTCATATTTGTTCACACTTGTCACCTTTATTATGTTATGTACCCTAGTAGTGTTCCAGTGAAATATTGACACACACACTACTCAGTTTAAAAGAATTCACCAAATCAGATTTATTTTCTTCCAAAGTAGTGTTTGGATTTACAAGTTTCCAGAAATTAAGCTCAATCAAGTGTTTATATTAGTTTCACTCTGAAGCCCCTTTCAAAAAAGGAGAGTTCTTGAAATGTCATTCTACAAACAAACAAACAAACAGAAACCTAAATATATGAAATCTGATACATTATATGTGTGAAAATCAAAATGTTATCAAAAATAAGAGGCAGGGAGTGCTAAAGGTTGTGCATTAGGAAATCTAAATGGATTCATGCTTCGAGGTCAAGCTGACATGGCAAGGAAGTGCGTTTTCCTCACCAGGAAACCGATAATGCAAACATGCTTTCTGGCTACTTCCCAGTTCTCTGAAAAGGTTCCTTTCCCACTGGCCTCTAAACAAGAGTTAATATGCTGAATTGAGTTTGGAGATGCAACCAAGTTGGAATCTTATGTGTACATTTTGTTAAAGCTTTTTTGGACCATGCAAAAATCTAGACGAGTAACACAGATTTAAACTGACCTAAGATTAAGCCCACATTGTCCAATCGTGTCTGTTTTATGAGGAAAGGATGCCGTTCAGAAAACTGGGTAACATTACAGACCTTTAGATTTCCTTTAAATTAGTTTCAAGATTGCAAATATAAAGACAACACAGCAAGCATACAGAAAACGATTTTAAGACTTAGAAGCATGTTTAAAGGACGTTAGCTGTAACAATTTATTCAAATTATACACTGAAATCAAACCTACTAGCATAAAGAATTAATGTGTACATTACACTGTGATACAAAGGTTTATCTTAGTTTTGTGTAATGTATTTGAACATTAAAAAAAAAAAAGTGAGCAGAGATGGCCACAACCTAAAACACCACCGCCCAGGGCTGCTGTGCACTGAGCTTGTATCAATATCACTCACAACTTTAATACAAGGCACTGTATTTACGATAATCCAGACAACGCATGATTTGGGGGTAAAACAAAACTTTTATAGATATCATCATATTTATTATAGCTTAATTTTCTATCCTCAAGACTTTTCTGCATATATTTGCCTTCATCCATTCCTGTTACAACCATCACTATAAAGCTCCAAACAAAGCACCCATCAAACCAGCCTAGTCTAGTTTTGATATGTATTAAAAATCTGAGCAGCTGATAACAATCCTGAACATCTACATCTCTTATTCCTCCACTTCAGTCCTTCTCACAAAACCTGTTAAAAACATGCCCAAGTCATATATTTAATATTTAAGAAAATCCATTTCAAGCCTTATTTTGTTTAATTATTATGACAATTAAACATGAATTTTTCATCACCACTGAAAAAAAAACTCATGCTTTCTTAAAGCTGACTTTAGAAAGAAAATTGGCTTGATGTTATTTATTTTTTATTTACTTTGTTACAGATGTTGCGGTGAAATAAGATCTGGACATGTTTTAATCAGATTCACCCAGTTTGTAATTTTCAGTAAAACAACATAAACTCAGCCAAATATTCCAGTGAGAAAAATTCCAGTCTTTTTGCTGCCAGAGACTAACTGACGCCTGAGCCATAAGCACAGCCAGTCCTGTATAGATCTGAGCCTCTGTGGATGGCAAGTGAGGGAAAGGCAATGAAAGTTTCACTACATGTTACTTGTCTTTAAAAAGTGCCTAAGAGTCTTTGGTCTACCAAACCCAAAACTGTTCTAGCTATTTTCAATTAGAAATGTTGTGTCTTTTTGTAAATCACAGCCTCATCTTTCATCTCTAAATAATAATTGATAAATGATAACATCTTTATCAAACCCTGAGCTGAAAGAGGAGGCCTTGAAGACACTAGACTTGTATTACTGAATAATTGAATGATTTTTTTCCAAAAAAAATATGATTATCAGCATCATGCACTGCAAGTTCGCGCATGGCATAAATAAGACTAAATGTAATGATTTATGGTAATTTTCAATGCTTTTGAAACTTCTGGATATAAACCTGTTCATATATCATGGATTTACAATACACATCCCTTTATAGTTAATGCTAGGCCCCTTAATTTAAGTGACATTTAACATAAATGTGTGCTTCTAACTTGTGCGACAGTTTGGGAAGAATGAAAGACGTTAAAGCAGCAAAGGAATGACAAACACCGTATTAATGCCCATATATATTATATATTAAATGCTTTTGGCTTTCAGTCATATAGGCCTGGTTTTACAGACAGGGCTTAGGTTAAACCATAGTTTCAGGCCATAGTTCAATTAGGACATTTAAGTAGCTTTTAAAAATGTGCCTTAGATAAAAACACTACTGATGTGCATCTAGAGACAAATCAATGGCACTGACAGATTTTAAGATCAGTCAGTGCAAGTTTCTTTTAGTTAAAACAGCCCAGACATGCGTTTTAGTCTGGGACTAGGCTTAAGCCTTGTCTGTCAAACCGGGGGATAGTGTATTTGTTATATTATTGATATGTCTTATGGAGACCTGTCTAACCTATAAATGAAAGAGTGAAAAATGAGAGAAAATAATGTTGGTTGTAGTAACAGACATCAGTAAACAATGTAGGGCTGCACAATTAATCGAATTTCTAATCGCAATTACAATTATGGATGCCACAATTACATAATCGTTTAAAGCAGCAATTAACACAAAATAATGATCTTTAAAAAAGCATCATATGGCCCCTTTAACTGTCAAAGTCCACTTATGTTATTCTGCACGATTAAGATATGTTTTTTTCGTTCTACATGTTATCTTAAGGGTTTTTCCATTGTTTTAGTTTTAGTATAACATTATACCATTCATATTTTTACTTTTTTTATAATTTAAAGAAGAAACCAATACGATGTATAGTTGACATTTGAGGCTTAATACTATAGAAAAGCACTAAAGGTTTTTCAGTTAAGAGTGTTTTCAGCTTGTTTATTTTCATATAAAAATACGGCATGCAGTTGCATCAAACAATGGTATAAACATCATTCAATGTAAATTGTGATAATCATAATTAATAATCGCAATTACGATTTCAGGGAATAATCGACAATTATGATTTTTGTCATAATCGTGCAGCCCTAAAACAATGGAGAAAAGCATCAACAAAAAATACAACAACAACAAAAATATCAGAAATAACATGCATTATGATTAATATGGCTAACTCATCTGCCAAATGCATCCCACTTCAACAAAACTAAGGAAATCATAGTGTTGCCATAGACAATAAGCAGCAGCTTGAAAGACTGCATAGTTAGTTTTGAAAAGTACTAAAGCTTTAGAAAGGGAGAGCAAAACACACATTCTCTCTCTTTCAGGCCAGCAAAGACCCCGTTCACCCCGAGAGTGAGCTGGGAGCTTATACACACTGTTTTATAAGTCTTCTCTCTGTCTCTCTCACACACACACACACACACACACACACACACACATTTGCTAAAGGCAAACTTTAGGTCCAGTTTGTCTCAGTAACACTAAATAAGAGTGCATGGGTACGAACAGAGCAACATTTTAATCTGACAGTTCTGCACTTCTGAAAGTGCTTAATGGAATCTGGAAGTCACTGTTAAAAAAAAAAAAACGAATTGCATTCATACGACATCCAGCATTCACTAAATGTATTATGAAAGATGCTGCAGGTTGTGTTAAAAGCCCTGAAACAAAGGCTTCTGAGTTCCTTGCTAAGCCTACACTTACACAAGCACTTACACAGATTATCCCTAAAAATGACCCTAGGCAACAGCAAATCACCCTTTTATACTGCAATATTCATCAATGTAGAATTAAATAGAATGTATTTACAACTCAAACTGTAGGCTCAGTTAACAGAAAGATAAAAATTCATGCCCGCGTCAAGAGCATTTCACACTTCAAACTCACAAACACCATTACCAGGGATCCCAAACCTTTTGACCATTGAATTCCAGCGTCTTTTCTGGATACAATTTTCTAGAAATTGTTTACTAGCCATAGTAATCATAAAAAAATGACATCTAGCCAAAAAATATTCAGCCAAAGAGCAACAAAAATTGTACTGACTAGAGACATGATGAATTTTAAAAACTTCTTATGACTTTTTCCACACATCTCAATCTCAAATGTATAATTCCCTGACGTTTTCCTTCTTCTCAAGACTGTAGGAACCCAGTATTACATACTTTAGATATATAAAGATTAGTTTTCAGAGTAGGCTGTCATGCAACTTTTCTATCTTTACCCATGTGTTCACATGGGCTATCCACCTACCCACAATCCATTGCTCTGAAGCCCCGTGTTATTGCTTTGACTACTGCCTGGAGATCATGTGGCCTAAAAGATATGCCAAGCATTATGTGCTCGCTCTTTGTACCCTGCAAAGACCTCATCCCCCTATAGACTTGAATCTTGTCTATGCCATATAAACATAAGGACCGACTCTCTACTGCCCTCATGTGGATGGGAGGACTTTGGATGCTCAAAAGGTGAACAAAGCGAAGCAGAATTCATTAGCAGCCTTCAGAGCGAAAAGGGTGGTGTGTGGTAGAGAAGTGTAAACAGTCACAGCAGGGCAGTGTGTGTGCAAACACACAGAACTCTAATGAGCTGTAAACAAGAACAGCAGCACTGCAGCCATGGAAATGCTTACCATGTGATCGGAGCTTTGTGCTGAGTGGGATGTGATCTGAAATACTGGGGTTTAATCCAATGAATTTATCATGATGGCTGTGCCACACGCATAATAAATTCCCTAGTTTAAACCAGTGTATTTTTGTACTTCAAGTATACAGGGACAGCATTTCACATAGGACAAAACCAAAAAAAACAAAAGTAACAGATAATTCCAATGACATTCAAAGACACCAGTCCAAACTGTAACAGATACTCCAATCAGAGAAAGAAAAGAGGGTTACGGCCCTCGATAACTGACCTAAAAGATGCTCCTTAGAAGTCACTGTAGTAAATCCAGTGTGGTGGCATTGTTACGGCCCCGTGTGTAAATGTAAGTGTGCGCGTGGAATGAAGTAAAGTGAAGAGGAGTAATAAGGATGTTTCTAACATGAAGTCTTGGTTGTACTGTAACAGTAGTAGATGCAGTGCCGTAGCCTTTAGCTGTGATGTCGGTTGATTGTTTGTTCTAGATAAAGACAGACCTTCACTAATCAGCCTTGGAGATATCTGAGACCGGCTCGGGCGAGGACAGCGGAGAGGCCTGGTTTTGCGCATCCCGCTGCCGCTTGTAGAGTCGGAAGCCTTTACGGCAGAGGAGGATGAACCAGTAGACCTGCGGTGCCAGGATGCAGAGGCTGCCCAGTTTGGTGGAGAGCGGCAGATGGAAGGGAACGCTGTAGAGCGGGATGCCGTAGTGGGAGCCGTAGGCCCAGTACATGTAGGGAAAGAGTGCAATGCGGCACATGAAGAAACTCAGCAGCACCATGCCACCATTAACCTTGTGCAGCCAGCAGTCCTGCATTCCCAGCTACAGGAAGAGACAGTCAACACAGAAGAATGAGAGGAAGAGGAAAGGAAGATTAGAAGATGGGGGCAAAACATTAAAGAGATAGTTCATCCAAAAATTACAATTCTGTCAACATTTACTCAAACCCATTTTGTTTTAAATCCACAAGACTTTGGTTAATCTTTGAGAAACAAATTAAGATGTTTTTCGGTCACTCCATTGAAAGTCCAGGTAAACTACAGTATCTGTAGTTGCTGATACTTTAACAAAGTATCGTATGTCAAAGTATCAGCAACTACAGATGCTGGGGCTGCTTTAAAATGCAATACCCAAGACTACCAAAAGGAGGCATGTGGAGGCATATAAGAGATACATGTCTGAAAGCAATTTCACTTAAAGGGTTAGTTCACCCAAAAATGAAAATTCTGTCATTAATTACTCACCTTCGTGTCGTTTCAAACCCGTAAGACCTTTGTTCATCTTCGGAACACAAATTAAGATATTTTTGATGGAATCTGAGAACTGTCTGACACTGCATAGACAGCAACACAACTGAAATGTTCCCATGTCCAGAAATGTAGCAAGGAGATCTGTAAAATCAGTGTTTCATCTGCAATTATACGAAGTTACGAGAATACTTTTTGTGCGGGGAAAAAAAAAAAAAGACTTTATTCAACAATTCGTCTCCTCCGCATCTTTATTCAACCCTCCGCATCACCCTAGTGCCATTTTGGAGAATATCCGCTGGACGTAAACAGCGTATGCTGCGTATGCTGCAGCTGCGTCACGCCGGATCTGTTTCCTACGTTGTTGTGATTTGATGTGAACGAAAACAGCGTATCCGCGTGGCGCACCTTCT